TATATCCACGTTATAACCAGTTGGAATAATGGAGACTGCCAATAAGTGAAGGATCAACAAATAATTAGGAGATAATATTAAAATACAAAATGGAAATTAAGAGATGAGAAGGGCTAAATGGGTCTGGCTCACCTAAGTCATTTTCAGCAGACCCTGAGCAAGAAATTGGCAAGCGCCTCCGTCTGCAACCAAAAGCAGATCCGGAGGCCAGATCAAGAACCAATTCGTTATTGGCAAAAGTTTCACTTGAGCGAACGCCTAGCGAAGGCCAAGTGTGTCGCATCTGCTCTCCAGCAGAGAGTTCTTGGTCCACAATACCGGAGATCAACTTCTGGCTGCCACTCGAACGAGTAAAGGCTGTTGATGTGGTCGTTTCAGCAGTTAATACATGTGCAGTTGCTACCCATGTGTTAAGGGGACCAGGCTCAATGGGAGTCGAAGAGTAAGAATCAGCTTTCAATTCAGATGTGATCATCATAGCCTTACGGATATCAGTATCACAAAAAACCCTTATTTTATCTTTCTCATTCATCTCATGATTCCTAGCCGTATTAGAATGTGGAAGACTGGTCATTAGAGGCGAGTGATTAGACACTGAAAAGTGAGTCTCTGAGTGGCTTGCAAGCATCCTGTCTAGGAGCGCTTTAGGTTCCTCCCTTTTTGGATCCTTCTCTGTTGATACGTCTATTTCATTAAAGTCACCTGTATCGATGCTTGTCTTGGACCGAATGCCTGGGACAATCTTGCGTCTGTTGATCGATAAGGGGTAGTGATTAAACGAGTAGTAGTGGTGGTGGTGGTGGTGGTGGTTGAGATAGTGTGGATGGTATTGAAGAGATTTGAGACGTATTGAGGAAACTAATCCAGAGCGAAAGGAACGACACCCGCGAAGCATATCGTCAGAAGTTGAAGAGTTGGCATGAGCATTCTTGGAGGATTTAGGCTGATATAAAAAGCCAAAGTAAAATTAACAAATGTAAATGCATTCCGCTAAAAGCTTGTAAGTTAAAAAGTTATATCAACCAATTGATAAGGAAAATAATGATGAATTTTTTAACTGATCAAACATAGTATTAAAAAGTAAATAATTAATTGCCGAATTTTAGGCAACAGAATAATTGAAAAAAGAAACCTTTTGAAACAAGAAAGTATAGTTATAATGTCAAATCAGTTTATAAATGCTTAGATAAAAGAACGAGTAGGGTAAATGAATTCTACAAGCATGAGTACCTAGGTCAACATAAAAAATTT